ATAAATGCTATTCCGATAGATAGGGAAAAAATTCAAAATATTTTTTGGGGATCGACTTATGTGTGAAATTATTTTGTTGCATAAGCATAGTTTCACAGATGATTTGCGGACTATCACATATTACATCATATATACTTTAACGAGAATCGAAAACGTGCTAATTTATGTTGCACATGCATTGCCCTTGAGTCACTTCGCATGGCTGGACAATATATTATTTTTTATTAAGACAATATTCAGATCTGGGTCAAGGACGCCTGGGATCTAGAAAATTCAGCATACGATCTCGCAATTATCATCCAAATCTGTGTAATTTACGGTAATATACTTTCCGTAAATACGCTCTTCGTATTTTAACGGCAAAATAGATATAGGATTTATTTGTGATGAATTAATCTTATATGCCTCTAAAATTCTGATGAAGTACGTATAATTATATTTTTTATCAATACTATAATATCCAGGATTCCGTGGCCATTTTAACATATCAAGCCAATATGTATCTCTAATAACTATATAGCCTTGCTGATATAATAATTTCTTAACAAGTATGATTGTTGCAAAACCTAATTAATCCCATAATTGAACTCTCTTTTCATATACCCAAACATTATTTGCCGAAAAGCAATAATCCTCATACCAAATTTGTCCTGAAGGATAATATCCTTCATTTTTCATACCTAAAAACTTCATATCATTGGGAGTATCATCATTCCTCACCACCTCCCAAATTCGTTTTGCCAAAGATTCAGGTCTCTTCTTGTAATTCCTGTAAGCTCGCTAGATAACTGTTGCATAGAAATTTTCAAAGCCATGATTATTATAGTAGTATTTAAGAATCAAGAATCCCCAAGATCGTTTCATTGATCTTTCTAAACTTCTTAAAAAAAATTTCATTATAGATTAGAAGGGTCTAACCCAGAATAGGCAGATCACATTTTTATTCGCCTGCAGGTGGTACATTCACTATACTGTATAGCTACTATTCATTTCGATTATATCATACATAAGTTATGTATCGCACCTTTGGCTAAATATAATTAAGATAAATAATATTAATATTCAGTCGAAAGATATTAAGTCTATCTCCTTGCAATTTTTCGCACAGAAGCCCAGTACTCATCAACATCAATAAAGCTAGTCGCATATTTCATATCATATCAGGGGCGATTATTATCAAGTTTAGATACAACCTTATTAAATCGCCCATCTAAAATAATATTAATAGCTAGCCCAGCATACACAAATTATGCGGTTAACGTTATGATTTATTTATAGCGTTTTTAGTGGAATACAGTGATTCTTTATCAAGTGATAACAGATAATCAAATTTATACGGGTGTTTGAGCTGGTCAAGAGTTAGAATATGCGTATTTCTGTATTTATAATTATGAAATGTGTAGTCAAGAAAAAATCACATGATGCAGATAAGCCAATACACAAGCTTGATCTCGCATCCTATCATTCCGGTATAATGATTAATAGATTGTCTCGTAATTTACGTAGCGAGAATATTATGCTGAATATTTCCTTTTACCGTATCTTCTGATACATAGATACAGTACATAAATCCAGATCAAGAAATTCGTGGCACAATAGTTTATCCGACGAACAGTTACAGATGCACAATTAAAAAATTCAAGCCAATCCCAATGTGGATGGATTAATGAATACTTATTTTTGCGTAAAAAGTGAATCCGCCATCACGTGATCGTTACATTATAATGATATTAATTAATATAACTAAAATCAATCAGTAAAACAATATCTAGAAAATTTATCAATATCCAGGTGAAGACGGTTCATTATACTTTAATGGATTAATACTGCGTGCTTTTTTACCCTTAGGTCATTTTGGTGAGCATGTCTTGGTGTCACCAATATAGCTTTTCAATTTTAAACTTGAGAGCGTGAAATTGAATGACGGCGATTTGATTTCTTTAACTCCTCAAGAATTTTAATAGTATTATCCAGACCCCTCTATAACAAATAATTTGTAATGAAATGTTCTTATTATAGAAGTAAAGGTCAAAAATATTTTTTACGTACCCCTAGATTCCACAAGATTGGTATCGCACTCAGAAGTTCGTGGTGATTCTCCCAACTAATTGAAAGTCAAAATGCACCAAGTAGAAACATTTGGTAAACATTTTTAACAGGTAGGTCCATCCCCCATACTTGAACATCTTGTCCTATTGGAAAGTATATATACTTGAATATGTACTAAAAACAAAATTCAAAATACACACTTCATTTACCATGAACATGAAGAAACCATGTGCGTAATTGTCTCATTATCTTAAAATTGCCACACGCAAATTTTGCAGCTGCATCATTAAGAAGATCACGTTGACTCCAGAATCCACGAACATGATCCTTTAAATATCAAGGCAAATCACAAGTTAAATGTCCACCAGACAACTCAACCATTCCAAATTCAATATCAGATGACTGAAAAATCCCATTGACTTTGAGACCCAATGGCTTATCATCTTCTGGTTTAAGATCACGTCGGATTAAGCGCTGGTTTGCACTTGCCTGAAGATAAGCCTCTCCTCTGTTTTCGTAAATGCATACATTGTTATTACAAGGAAAAAAAATGAAAGAACCGTCAATTTGATACCTACGGTATATAAATGACACCATGATCACTTGATAGGATGAACCAGAAGGGAACCCAGAACTGACTCCTGTGAACGGGGATTATGAAAAGCACTGGTAGGATTGAACACTGTTTTCGAACTTTGAAATTAAAACGATAATTAGTAACCGTAAGAACAATAAATAGTGCTTGAGTCAAAAATAAATACTTACAACCATAGAAGTACATCAATGACAAATACCAATTGCTTGTTTTCCCTGAAGTTGAATTTTTTATCATAAAGAACTTCTGTATATTCCGTCAGCGAGTTCTGTAGTTGGTTAAATGGATAAGGATCAGATTTATTTTATAATATTACTATATCAGAAAAACATCTTTTGGATAATTACCGTTCCAAGCAGAGTATCAAAGAGATCAATCACATCAGTGGATAGAGGACATTCAGGATATTCAATGCTTGCTTGTAAGTATCTCCAATCATTTTTCTGAATCCATTCAGGTTGTCGAACATTTGCTCCAACGCGTATAATTTCCAGGTTAGATGGGCTGTAACATAGATGGACAAGTATGCACAGGCTTAGATAGAAGATAAGGATGAAAATAAAAGATTTGGAACTTACTGAGATTTGTGAAGAATGGTAGGACCATAAATTGCTTCAGTAACAGTTATACCAGAAGGTAACTTCCAAACATCCATCAGGCTTTTTTCATCAGGATACTTTGGAACATTTGTTACATCTTCTGAAACAGATCCAGATCCAGATTCAGATACATTTGGATCAACTTCAACTCCAACTTTGATCTGCTCTTCAATATCTTCAATTACATTTTTATTTTCAAGATCTGACTCGTCATCGCTGGATTCTATTCTTTCACTATCTTCGCTGTCTTGACCATTAATAATATGCTTTATTATAAACAATAGAATAACGGTAAGTCAAAAATAAGTAGCGTTGATAACATATTAATATAACATAGAATTAGTTCAATCCAGTTTGGATTTAAAAACTCGCACATTTTGTCGACTACGTTTTTGCCATACTTCTTTATCGTTGTCATTGTGCGATCGCTTTTTCCCTCTTGTTATTTTTCGAAAATGATTTGATATCTTTTGAGAAGAGAATAAGCTTTTCTCTAGTTCTTGAACTTTATCGGAAATTTGTATCTCAAGGTTCTGATCGTAGAAATCTTCATATATATCTTTACAGCTTTGCAAGACGACCGACCCTTCGAAGGTTTCGTCAATATCCAGTAGATCAGCACAGAAAGTACGTACACTACCCGGAATTTTTTTAGTACCGTTCTTTATAATAATATTGAGCGACTTCTTCCAGTCATCATAGACTTTCATTCAGGATAGGATTGACTTATCTTGTTTCAAACGATAATGTAAATAATGTTTGAGTCGCCAATTTTGAGCTTTGACATTTTTAAAATAAAAATGTACGTCTTCAAAATTAGGTGACATGAACTGTAAATGCTTTGTCGATCTCAATGTTGCAGTCATTAAGCTATACACTAAAAAAGGAGAGTAAAAGGTTTTTTTAGAAAAGTCAGAGATTACAAATTATCTGATAGTAGATCATCACAAATAAAAAATAAGTTAATATGAAAAGAGTGGTGACAGAGGATGCAACTATGCTGAAGTTCTCATGCGGTCAGGCATTGGCGGTGAGATGCTTCCCTTGTATCCTATCCTTGGATACGTAGGAGACACCGTAGCTTTATGCGATCAGGCATTAGCGGTAAGTTACGAGTTGCTTGTTGATTGACAACTGTTCGCGTGGCCAGGCATTGGCGGTAGCAGTTGATCCACTGTCTTTGCCGTAGTTCTTTATGCAGCCAGGCATTGGCGGTGAAGTGCTTCCCTTATATCATCTTATATCTAGGAGACGCTGTGACTTTATGCGGCTAGGCATTGGCGGTAAAGTTACAAGTCAGTGGATATCCAAGTTATCTTTTGGTGATCATGCCTCTGTCGCACACCCTTTTATTATCCATTCTGGATGGGACATTATGCAATTTTAAGAGGTACGAATATTTTTTTTAGCTGTGCATTTGCAGTTCTGGGCTTACAAGCTAATAGATAATTTTTCGTTCAGAATTTCGTCGACAATATTAGTATCACATAAGACGAACAGCTTTGCTAAGGTTAATGATATCAATTTATTTGCATAAATGTTAAAATGCTAGAGAAGCGAAAGAAATATGATGCTATCAAAGAGGGAGGGAGTACGCAGATCTTAGGCCGTTTAATGCGAGTTCCAGCATCAAGTTATTTCAGTTTTATTGTTAATTTCTATATTAATTGTTTTGTTTCTATCACTATTGCTAATTACGAAATTCTTATCCCCACTCTTTACTACATTAAAATTTCCTAAATAAATTATCCCACCTATTTCTACGCCTATCTATATCACTCCAACTCGTACAGACTATGCTAAAGATTATTTCTCGCAAGAGAACTCCAAAATTAAGAAATTTCGAATCTATATTATAATTAAGGGAGTATTAGCAACTGAGTTAAAAAAATAATATAGTATTTCCAATTCACACTTACCGATATACTTAGTTTTCACAATATTACATTCCGCCTCATATACAAGAAATTGGTTACTTGATTTTTTCTGCGTTATCGCCCGAACGATACTGCGCAAAGTTTCAAGAATTTGGCATGTGAAGATGCTTATGCCAGATGATATACTGCGCCAGACTTTTGCTGTGCTGTTGCATGTGATGAAATTCATGTGAGTAATTTCACTGCGTCTATTATACGTGTGATGATGGTCTGTGATTTTCTTGGTGAAGATCAAAATGCCGATATATAACAAGAAGAGCAATATGTCCATTTTATTATGGAACATCTATAGTGGAAAATCGATTAAGATCGTAATGACATGTTTCAAGAAGCTAGCTGAACAATACCTTATTGTTTGCGGATAATCTCATTTGATTAAGGATATTAATGATGTAAATATTAGTAAGTTTTATTAGATTTTATTACTTTCACTTGATTTTTTTGCTTATATTTGCGCAGGACAGATAAAAAGGTTCACTAACTATCTCACCTTCTTTTTATATGATTTGATAGCGGTCCAAGAATTGAATTTGGAATGAATCTTCGAGGAATTATGATGGTTTCATGAAAATCAGATCAACAGATTCGCTCAAAGACATAATTAAAAGCCTTGATCGCTAACATATGGGATCGTGCCCCTTGGATCAACAAAGGGGTCTTTTTTTTATTATTATTACATGAGTATCTGCGAGAAAGTTCGAGAATATTACGCATCTATAAGATGTTACAGTTAATTTTTTCTTACATCACATAGCAATCATTTCAGCAATAATTTTCCTAAATATTATACTACGCATTTATTGGGATGCAAATACAATCCCTCAATTCCCACAACCATACTATGCAGAATATTATTGTGTAAATATATTGTGCTTAATGCATCTTCACTTTATTGATTGTAAATAAAAAATACATATCGGATCTTAGATCATGATACAGCTTCGCTTGATACAATGATATATGATACATGATAAAGTCTTATTGCATCTATTCTATCCACCTCCCAATACTTGCTATGTTCATTGTACCATGCTACCATCCTAACTTAATAGTCTGTTTCATTTGCATTCGTGATTAGTAACGAGATCCCTGGAATGGAAACTAGGCATTAGTCCTGATGACAAAAAAAAGTGCTAAATCTCATGTTGCACAGTTCTACCCCCTTGATCGCAAAAAATCTCTAATCTGATAGTTTTAACCAAGCTTGTATAGCATTTTTCTGATATCATACTGTGCGTTTTTTCAGGTGATCGATCTCACATGACTGGCCAGTCTGGCCTATGCTACGATCGTGAATTTGAATTTATTGCTTGAAGTGAAGCAAGTAAGACAATATTCTGTTCCATTTTTATACCATTCGCCATGTAATCCGTAATTTCCATATTTTCCATTGTAAATATGACATGGTGAGCTCCACAGCTGAGGTGATGCAAAATTATAATTATCAATTCTTCTGAAACTATTTCAGAATTTCAAGTATGAGAAGTGCTCTAAGACGGATTTGATAATTAATTCTGGATCAGGTCTAGCTTTGAAAGTGATGGACCCTTTTTCTTGACATTGCTTACTGGAGGAAGGAAAAGATAAATCGGATACTTTATTTTCTGGCTTCGAATTTATGAGAAGGCAGGCTTCTGATAATTGCCATGGCTCATACCCAGTTTCTTTTTTATATTTTTTGTATAAGCTGGACCGAATCCTATCTGTC